ATTTTGTTTCTGTTTTCAGGGTTTAATTGATGCTTTGTGATCCATATTATAATTTTTATATATATCCCCAGAATCATTTGGTACTGTGGACTTTTTTTCACTTGGGGTGGCTACCCAGGAAGTCTCCACAATTGAGAAGCGGGTATGACAGGCTTACAACTGAGAAGGTAATGAAGTGCTCATTGACCACTTTATAGGGAGGTCTGGTGGGGCTTGGCTGTGATTAGCTCCTACATCTTCATATATACTTATTTCTATTTTTATGTTCCAGTTTCCACGGGCCAGAAGGCTATTCTACATACCCTGGCTCATACTGAAAATATACTTACCGAATATATGGTTTATCCTGATACAAGCTGGAGATCTATGGAAACCTAGAACTAAAGCCACACCACTACCTTACATTGCCTTATATGGTACTTTATTTGCCAAAATGACCCAGAAATGAGGACGCCAAGTGCTTTTAAAATGATTTTATTTGTTTGATATGTACACCGTGCTCATGTTTAACCTCCCTATGATCCATGTGATCGAATAAAATACTGTTTGTAATCTTTGAACCCATATTACTCCGCGTGGATCATTTAATAACCTCCTTTCCTTGGGTAGGGGTGCTCTGGTCACACTACCATATTGTTTAGTATGCAATTCTTTTTGGGTTTATGGATCCACACTTACATGTTAAGTGAGTCGGAGATATGATTATGACACTAGCTATCAGTGTCATTATAGGTGGCTTCCTTTAGTCTATTTTTGTGACTTACTAGAGGGGCGCCTGTATGTATGAGTTTTTTTTTTGACAGCTGTCCTGAGGAGTCATGGAAATGAAGGTCTGTCACAGACAGCTGAGCTGCTTGCAGTGAACTTAATGCAGAGGGCGCCAAAACAGATGCTGCCGGGCGGGGCGGGTAACAGACATATCTTGAGGCACACAGATACCTCCCCCTACCTCCTTCGGCTCCTGGCCCCCAGCAGCTGATCAAGCAGCTCTATTGGCAGATTGAGGCTTGCAGTGATTGGGCGGGACTCAGGAGGGGGGTCTGGTTGCCTTGGAGGCTATCTTGCTGGCCCGCTGTCTGGTGCAGGTCTGACAGGCTCATTCGGGCTGCAGACACTGTGAATGGAGTCATCCCCTCTCCAGTAGGTAGTGAGGTAGCAAAGTGAGAGAAGGAATCACAGTGCAAGGGGACCTCTGTGGACCCTTATGTAAAGGACTCTGATGTAAGAGGAAACATTATGGACCATGATGTAAAGGGGAACACTGCTGACTGTGATGTAAGGGGTGAGTTTTGGTGACCAGAGACCAGGGGCAGACTGACCATTTGGAAACTCGGGCACTGCCCGAGGACCCGGGGTCAGTAGGGGGCCCCATGAGATTCCCCTTGTACCTTTTTTTATAGGCTTTTTTGAGTTTGGGCAAGGACACAGGGGCCCCATGATCCCCTATTGCCTGGGGGCCCCATTAGTTGTCAGTCTGCCCCTGCCAGAGAGCACCTTACATCAAAGTTTCCTTTTACATCATGGTCTGCAGTGTCCCCCTTACATCAGAGTTTCCCTTTACATCAGGGTCTGCAGAGGTCCCTCTTGCACTGTAAGGGGGAACCCTGCAGATTCTGATGTAAATGAGAACTTTGAGAACTCTGATGTAAGGGGGGCTCCAATGACCAGAGCCCCCTTACATCAGAGTTCCCCTTGACATCACATTCCACAGTGTTTCCCTTTACTTCACAGTCCACAGTGTTCCCCTTTACATCAAAGTCTGCAGCATTCCCCTTTACACATATACATAAGAATTCTCTGCCTATAAGGTCCAGAGATGTAAATCTGGCCCTGCTGGTTGTACCACGTTTATTGATAGATCGAATTTTGTACCTCCCTGCCCATACATGGATCCAAATTTGGCCAGTCTCTGCTGAACCAGCTGAATTTCAATCCATGTATGGCCAACTTTAGACAAAGTGTTAGCTCTCTGTCTGTATTCTGTGTGTAAAAAGCATATGTAATGGAAAAGTTTCACTTTTTACTTTATTGACTTTTGTTCTTGGGCTTATATGTGTCTGCGAGACTCTTGTGAAGGTGTATTTTGTGGGTACAAGGACTGCAACATACGTGTGCAGTGTATACAAAGATTACACTCAGTCCCTATTTCCGTCTACAGTGTACCCCGCCACTCAAATCCCTATTTTGTCTAAAACGTATCTGCACATAGAAATAAATGTCTGACACTGCAAGCCCTAAGCTGGCCATTGCTTGCTCACACCTAGGAATAAAGCCATTAATATATACAACATAAAAATGCTCGTAAAGCTCAGAATAGCAGAATATATCATTTCAAAATGCCTTTACTCATAAATAACACAATCACAGCATTTTTATATGAAATAATTATTTTTAAATATACAAATATATGAATAATATCTAAACCTTACAAGCAAATATGAAGTTTTTGAAAATATTTTAGTACTACTTTAGTGACTAGCATTTATAAAAGTGTAGTAAAATATTTTGCCATTAGGTGTCACTCACATTCTTTTTTACAGTTACTATGCTAGGAATAGAACCTGTAACAGCATCTCAAAAGTAGCAACTGCAGTGAACTGATGTATTGTTTTTCATTTTATCAGTGATTATGGAAGTGGAAGAGTAAGTGGTAGTGGAAGAGTAAGGCCGCTTTCACAAGGCGGGTCAGATAAGGCAGTTTTTCAGGCGGACTTCAGCAGATGGACTATTCACCCCTATGCACAGACGGGTGTAAATGGACTTGGTTTTCACCCGCACACCTCCTGGTCTGATCCAGTCTGCAAAAATGGAAAGAAATCCATCCTCTTCCATTTAGGAAGATTGGACACTGCGCTGTCCGTTTACACCCGGCCGCCCATAGGGCTCTGTCCGTGTTCACTCTGTAGAAACTGAGCCAACAAAGATGAGCCAACAAAGTGTCATCCGCCCCTCTGCTCCGATCAGCCAGGGGTCTGTGAGCGGATACCCTGCTGAATGGGACACCCCATATGAAAGGGGCCAAACTATACGTCTTAAAACCAGTAACCTGAAATGAAAACTACAACTGTTTTATTTTTAGTAAATTAAGAGACAGGAGAGGAACCACAGAGCGTGGTGGGGAAGTGACCATCAGACACTCTTGGAAGTGTGTCAGCAATAAAGATTCTTTGGACAGCTTTGTTCTGCAACTGAAGACTCCATAAAAAGGGGATGGACATGGAAGTACAACATATATTTTTACAGAACATTGCTATTGTTAGATTTCATTTTGGTTGCTCAAAAGTGAACATATTTTTATTGAAGAGAATAATAAAAAAAGACCTTTTAATTAAAGTTGTAATAAAATTGTATGAGATTCAGTTTCTTCTTTTAGTTTGCTGGGGGAGAAAGTATCCATGTAAAAAATTCAGATGGTTCCCGTTAACATAATGTTTTAAAACTGTCACATTCAGACATACCCTGCGAGATCCTTCTATGCCAAAAAACTAAATCTGTGATGGATCATTGATGGAGGAGATGATGGGGAACTCTGTGTTCCAGCTTCTGGTTATAGAAATTTCTCTTATGTTCCCCAAATTTCAAAGAAGAATCTAGTGGCGCAACCTGTGTAAAAGTGCATTAAGGGAACAATAAATAATAAAGGGACTTTGCAACTAATAAATAATTTTATGGAAAATTTTCTACCCTGGTTACCTCTTCCTTTGTGCAATAGGTTTTCCATGTGCAAATATATGGACAATATTAGAAAAGGACAGGTTTTGCAAGGTCTCAATTTTATATTGGCCATATTAGATGCTATTGGGGGTTATTTACTAAAACTGGAGAGTGCAAAATCTGGTGCAATTTTACAGAGAAACCAATCAGCTTTGAGGTTTTTTTTTTGATCAAAGCTTAAATGACCCTTTTTCTGTTCTAGTTTTTTTTGTTATATAATGTTCTTGTATCACATGACAGTGTACAGCTTCCCATATCTTTTTTTGACAATAGTTTGCCTATTAGCCCTAAAATATGTCCTGAATGTAATAACACGATTCACCCAATAGACAACTGGATTCACTGCTAAGTTTTGGTTCTCCAAATTTAAAACTGGATTCAACAAACTGCATGCAAATTTAACATGGGAAGATTCGTTCATGGCTAGTTGGAAAACCAGTAGCACAGAAGTCCCATACTTCCTAATGGAAACAAACCCTTTTCCACCACTTCCTGACTTGCCTGGTCCCACAGTTACAGATACCCTGCAATAATTATTTATCTTAATCATCATCTCTGCCTTTGACAATTATATAGAGCGAAACTTACACTATATTGCCAAACGTATTGGACCAGCCCTCCAAGTCATTGGATTCAGGTGTTCCAATCACCTCCATGGCGACAGGAAGGGGCGTATTTACCACCAGGCAAACAAGGCATTTGCCTAGGGCAGCATTCTTATGGGGGGCAGCGGCATCTTTCAGGGGAGCAATGGCATTTTTCAGGGGGGCAGCGCTGCCCCCCCCAAAAGAAGGGGTGGAAGAAGGGACACGCAGCATGCGGACCAAGTGGGATCTGAGAGAGGCTGCAGGCTGCTTGATGGTCTATGCAGAGCCTGACTCTTGTTCCCGGGGATGTCCGGAGCTGTGAAGGTGATTGTCTTCTCTCTCGTAGGGATTGCCAGTATATGGAGGGGAGCAGGGGCGGACTGACAACTCATGGGGCCCCCGGGCAATAGGGGATCTTGGGGCCCCTGTGTCCTTGCCCACACTCAAAAAAGCCTATGAAAAAGGTACCCGGGGCTTCTCATGGGGCCCCCTACTGACCCCAGGCCCTCAGGAAATGCCCGAGTTTCCAAATGGTCAGTCCGCCCCTGGAGGGGAGGTAGTAGTGGGAGGCTTTCTCAGGTGGGGGTAGGGGGCTAGGGTGTTGTTGGTCAATGTCAGGCTCTCTCCGTGGGGGGGCGATTTTTGTGTTGCCTAGGGCAGCACAAAACCTAAATACACCACTGGCCACAGGTGTATAAAATCAAGCACCTAGGCATGCAGACTGCTTCTACAAACATTTGTGAAAGAATGGGTCGCTCTCAGGAGCTCAGTGAATTCAAGCGTGGTACCATGATAGGTTGCCACCTGTGCAATAAGTCCATCCATGAAATTTCCTTGCTACTAAATATTCCACCGTCAACTGTTAGTGGTATTATAACAAAGTGGGAGCAACTGGGAATAACAACAACTGAGCTACAAAGTGGTAGGCCACGTAAAATGACAGAGCGGGGTCAGCACATGCAGAAGCACACAGTGCGCAGAAGTCACCAACTGTCTGCAGAGAAAGTAGCTAAAGACCTCCAAACTTTAACTTCGTGTGGCCTCAGATCAGCACAACAACAGAGCGTAGAGAACTTCATGGAATGGGTTTCCATGGCTGAGCAGCTGCATCCAAGCCTTATATCACCAAGTACAATGCAAAGTATCGGATGCAGTGGTGTAAAGCACGCCGCCACTGGACTCTAGACCAGTGGAGACATGTTCTCTGGAGTGCCAAATCACACTTCTCTGGCAATCCGATGGACATGTCTGGGTTTTGCGGTTGCCAGGAGAAAGGTACTTGCCTGACTACATTGTGCCAAGTGTAATGTTTGGTGGAGGGGGGATTGATGATGTGGGGTTGTTTTTCAGGGGTTATCCTTGGCCCCTTAGTTCCAGTGAATGGAACACTTAAGTCTTCAGCATACCAAGACATTTTGACAATTTTTAATGCCCCCTACTTTGTTGGAACAGTTTGAGGATTGCCCCTTCCTCGTCCACCATGATTACGCACCAGTGCACAAAGCAAGATCCATGAAGACATGGATGAGTGCTCTTGGGGTGGAGAACCTTGACTGGCCTGCACAGAGTCCTGACCTCAACCCGATAAAATACCTTTGGGATGAATTAGTGTGGAGACTGTGAGCCAGGCCTTCTCGTCCGACATCAGTGCCTGACCTCACAAATATGCTTCTGGAAGTCAAACATTCCCATAGACACTCCTAAACCTTGTGGACAGCCTTCCCAGAAGAGTTGAAGCTGTTATAGCTGCAAAGGGTGGGCCAGCTCAATATTGAACCCTACGGACTAAGACTAGGATGCCATTAAAGTCCATGTGTGTGTAAAGGAAGGCATCCCAATACTTTTGGCAATATAGTGTATCTCTGTCATTGGAACATGCCGTCAGAAACAGGGTATATACACTTTGTATGACCACTAATACCTGGTCAAGCAAACAGGGACAGGAATGTTATATACTGTTCCCTGGAGAACCATTTGTTGTCTGTGAAGCATGCAGCAAGGGAGACACTACTGAACTTTGAAGTGCTGCCATGTTTGGTGGAAAACACTGTACCTCTACCCGGAATATTAAATTCCACAGCCAAATATACACAGTGGTGTGACTATTTTTGGAGGTGATTAGAGTATCGAGATTATATTTGGGAGATCTCTTAAGCAGTTAAATCTATTAATCCTGAAGGAAATAATGAGATGTCATCACATAATGTATAGTTCAAGGGGACCAGATTTGATAGATGCAGAACACACTGTATTACCTCACCATCAGAATCAAATCTACACTAGAAAATGATTGATAAATACAATTGGATTAATCTGATTGGTTGTGGGCAACACAGGATGTTTCTAAACAGAGCATCATGTACAATTCCTAATCTCTAGTACTCACATTTTATGCCCCACACAAATATACTGCATAGAGCTGTACAGTTTCTCTCTGTGTGGAAATGGTATTCAGCTATCTGAGAGGTCGTTGACTACATTTGCAAACATGAATGGTAGGGGGAAGATTTGTATGTATGTGGGCCCCTCAATGACCTTGGTTTATGTTCCCTGGCAAAGTCTACTAAGAGTAAAGTTGATCAGATGGAAGAGATATTCCCACCTGATGCACCTTGCATGTTTGTAGAAACATATTTTTCTTTATTGTCTATTGTGAGATGCAGGAATAGTAGCTAATTGGGTTATACTAAAGCTTTCAGCAGGTCTGGATACTGGCAAAATAAAAGACATTCAGCCATCTCTATGTATAACCCAACCTCCAACTGTCATGTTTCATGTCGTTTTTTGCCAGTATCCTAGGAGGCTGGATTTTCTGCTGAGGAAATCCCTACATGTTTTTTGTATCAACATTCTCAGTACTTCGAGGATGATTATCTCTCTTCAGTTAAACATCTGTCACTCTTCCCAAGCTTGTCCCTATATACCAGGTATCTAGTTCTGTCTTTGAGACTGTCTTGGAGGCTGTACCTGGGCCATAGCATGGTCTCTGGTGTGACCCCATCCTAGAAGACAAGTGTACAATCCAAACGCACATGTTCCTGCATTAAAAATAACTGTGTATATAAGTGGGTGCTGCAGTGACCGTCGGCTGGAACCAAACAGAATCAGCAAGGGAGAATGTCACCAGCACACCGAGGATCACCAATACTATTATTATTATTATACAGTATTTATATAGCGCCAAAGGGTATGCTCACCGCTGTACAATAGCAAGGGGGACAGAACATGAGACAAGACAGAAACAAGCTCTTTTGAGCTTAAAGGTGACAGTCTGATGGATTGGGGTAGGGAGTTCCAGAGGATGGGGGAAGTCCTGGAGAAGTCCTGCAGTCGGGTGTGGGAGGAGGAGACCAGGAAGCTAGAGAGTAGGAGGTCCTGTGAGGAGCGAAGGGGACGGGTAGTGTGGTATTTGGGTATCAGGTCAGTTAGGTAGTTTGGAGCGGCGTTGTGAATGGCTTTGTAGGTCAGAGTTAGTAATTTGAATTTGATGCGCTGGGCAATCGGGAGCCAGTGAAGGGATTGGCAGAGGGGGGGGTGGCGGATGTGGAGCGGTTGGTGAGGTGGATGAGTCTAGCCGCTGAGTTCAGGATAGACTGGAGTGGGGATAGCGTTTGTTTGGGTAGGTCAGTGAGGAGGGAGTTGCAGTAGTCCAGGCGTAAGATGATGAGGGGGTGTACGAGTTGTTTAGTAGTGTCTGGGGTTAGGAATGTACGTATCTTGGAGATGTTGCGGAGGTGGAGCCTGCATGACCTTGATATGGGTCCAAACGTTTTAATGAACGATCACATAGTTACAGCAAGGCAACATTTTGGAGTCTTGCAGGACCCCTTCATCAGGCATGTGACATCACTGCGGGTACATCTTCCTTGTGCATGCATTGTGAATTACAGTGAATGACTAACCTGCAGTGAATGTCACATTGACCGCGTTACAAACATGCCCCTTAGTGTGTGGGGAATATGGGAAGCTAACTTAAAGATATATTTATAGTACTGTTATCAACATTCATATTACATATCATATTGAATACATTTTAATGCCCTAGGCCAGTGGTCGGCAAGCCGCGGCTCGCGAGCCACATGCGGCTCTTTACACATTTTAATGCGGCTCTTCTGTGTGCCGGGCGCCCGCTCCCCTCCCTCCTCTCGGGCGGCTGAGGACTCTGCAGCTAGCCCAGCAATGATTGGCCAGTCTCGCTGCCACTCACATCCTGATAGCTAGTGATTGGCTGTCAGGATGTGTGTAGGCGGGGCAGCGTGACGAACGTGAGGGGAGCTAGGCTCCTCTCACAGTCCGCCCTGAAGACCGGAACGGCGTGGGGAACACGGCGAGAGGAACGCGCGGAGCAAAGGTAAGTGAATTGACACAGGGGGGACTTGGCTTACTACTTGCTACTTACTTACTACTACTATATGAGGGATGAATTAATATGGGGGATGAATTACTATGGGGGATGAATTACTATATGGGGGTATGAATTACTATAGGGGGGATGAATTACTATAGGGGGGATGAATTACTATATGAGGGATGAATTAATATGGGGGATGAAATTACTATGGGGGATGAATTACTATATGGGGGATGAATTACTATAGGGGGGATGAATTACTATAGGGGGGATGAATTACTATATGAGGGATGAATTAATATGGGGGATGAATTACTATATGGGGATGAATTACTATGGGGGATGAATTACTATATGGGGGATGAATTACTATGGGGGATGAATTACTATATGGGGGATGAATTACTATGGGGGATGAATTACCATATGGGAGATGAATTACTATGGGGGATGAATTACTATATGGGGATGAATTATGAATTACTATATGGGGGATGAATTACTATATGGGGGATGAATTACTATGGGGGATGAATTTACTATATGGGGGATGAATTACTATGGGGGATGAATTACTATATGGGGGATGAATTACTATATGGGGGATGAATTACTATGGGGGATGAATTACTATATGGGGGATGAATTACTATATGGGGGATGAATTACTATATGGGGGATGAATTACTATGGGGGATGAATTACTATATGGGGGATGAATTACTATGGGGGATGAATTACTATATGGGGGATGAATTACTATGGGGGGATGAATTACTATATGGGGATACTATATGGGGGATGAATTACTATGGGGGATGAATTACTATATTGAATTACTATGGGGGATGAATTACTATATGGGGGATGAATTACTATGGGGGATGAATTACTATATGGGGATGAATTACTATATGGGGGATGAATTACTATATGGGGGATTACTATTACTATGGGGGATGAATTATTATGGGGGATGAATTACTATATGGGGGATGAATTACTATGGGGGAATATACTATAATGATGAATTACTATGGGGGATGAATTACTATATGGGGGATGAATTACTACTATGGGGGATGAATTACTATATGGGGATGAATTACTATATATGGGGGATGAATTACTATGGGGGATGAATTACTATATGGGGGATGATGAATTACTATATGGGGGGATGGGGGAATGAATTACTATATGGGGGATGAATTACTATATGGGGGATGAATTACTAATGGGGGATGAATTATATGGGGGATGATATGGGGGATGAATACTATATGGGGGATGAATTACTATGGGGGATGAATTATATGGGGGATGAATTACTATATGGGGGATGAATTACTATATGGGGGATAAATTACTATATGGGGGATGAATTACTATGGGGGATGAATTACTATAGGGGGGATAGAATTACTATATGGGGGATGAATTACTATATGGGGGAGGAATTACTATGGGGGATGAATTACTATGGGGGATGAATTACTATAGGGGGATGAATTACTATATGGGGGATGAATTACTATATGGGGGGAATTACTATGGGGGATGAATTACTATATTGGGGGGATGAATTACTATGGGGGATGAATTACTATAAAAACTTATTGAAACTAAAAAACAGTGTACCATCCTATGTATTTTCAGTTTTAAAAATGTGGCTCTCAAAATAAATTTCAATCGTGGTTTTGGCGAGACTTGGCTCAGTTGAAAAAAAAGGTTGCCCACCACTGCCCTAGGGATACATAACTAAATTTAACACCCTGTTTTTTTCTGGGAATCTGAGGTTTATTGATTGATTGATTCATAGGAGATACTGTGGTTTATGACTTCCTTGCAGTGGTACCCTTGATGCAGGTTAGATGACATAATGGGATAGATTTACTAAAACTGGAGTACTCAGAATCTGGTGCAGCTGTGCAGGGTAGCCAATCAGCTTCTAACTTCAG